TAGGGTTGCACGTCCCCTGACTTATCTTTTGGGACGGAAAGCGCCTGCGGCGCGTACGGCGATGTTGCCTCCATGCTACGGCTGGTGTCAGTCAACTTAGCACGACAAACCAATGCAGGGACAGCCTTGCAACACCTAGCTCAGGACGGGCGGCAATGAAAAGTCGCCCGACCCTTGTAGCCCGACCCCGAGTTTCCACGGTCACGTGGTCTCGGCCATCGGGCACGTGCCCGATCATGTGATCGGCCCGGCCGCTTCCGCGGGCCGGGTCTAGAAGGCGCGTGATGCTACATGTGATTAATCGGCGCCTCCGGCACCCGGTTAATGCAGAGCCCGAGCGCTGAGTCTCTTACGCCATTGGACAGCTATTGTTAAGTCCGTCTAACGCCCTTAAGGCCGACGGAACCCATTGTCCCTCCGGGCCAATGGGTGCATTTCAGTTTGTACGTTTGTACTGCCTGAAGCGCCGAGTCGCGTATAAGTATAGCAGAGAAAGGGCTGATGAGACATCTGTCGAAAGAGTCTGCCTTGCCCCCCATAGCTTGGCACCCCTTCTCTCTCTCTGCACCCTCATCCTCCCCATCCTCCACTCACTCGCCGCTTCGCGGCTCGTTCATGTCGGACCACCTAACCATTTTTTTAGCCGCCACCTCTCGCATCAACACCATGGTCAACCAAGTGCAGGGTGAGTCTCCTGCTCCATCCCACTTCCCAATTCCTCCCTCTAGTCAGGGAGGCACTCTGCGCTCTTCGCACAGAGTGGGTTCTAGTTCCCAGAGTGCTTCTGCCTCGCCTGTTAGCAGCAATGCTAACTTGTATTTGGGTTCAGGCGTTATTCGACGCGCTGTCTCCCCCACGTCCCTGGCCGCAGCCGCTGCTACTGTTTCAGATGCAGCTGGCAAAGTCGACCTTCGCTACGGAGCCTTGTCCATGGCTACCTCCGTAGACGATGTTTTGGACGTCATCCCGGGTCCCTACCGGGATTCCCTTCGTGTTCCCCTCCTAGAGCTTCGCAAGAAGCAGGAGAAGTTGGTAGCGGTCAGGTTGTCTGTGGCACAACTTGATGCGCACCGACGTGCGGACACCCTTCCTCCCCACATCGCGGGGATGAAGCTAGCCTTGCCGCAGGTATCGGCAGAATGGGCTAAGGGAGAGGTCTATCAGGCGTGGGCAGACGAGCGCCAGAAGGCCTTTAGACAGGATGTGCAGTGTACGCTTCGAGAGGCGTGGTACGAGCAGCGCGTCCTGGAGATGAACTATCTCGAAACTCAGCTGGCTATGGAAACCGTACTACCACCAATCGCTAAGACCATCGGTGAGCTATACGACGACCTAGCGACTCGCAGCAAGGACGCAAAGTGGGAGTCTGTGACTGTTGAAGGACAGACTACTCCTAGCGGCCACGCTGTGCAGGAGAGTCGCATTGCTGGCTGGACTCCGAACCCTGTCATAGCGTCGGAGTACAAAACCCTCATGGCTGCACTTGGTCGAATCTGCAACGCCGTCATCACCCTCGAGTTGACAAAGGCACGCCGCGCAGCACAGATTCGCCAAAAGAAGGCAGTTATCAAGGAGACCGCAGATGTGGAAATGGGCGAAGCATCTAGCAGCACAGCGGCCATGCAAGCGGAGGTTCAACGAGCCGTCGCAGCTTCCTTAGAAAAAATGGGGTATCGCAAGGTGGGAGATGACGCCAAATCGCTGTATAAGGGGGTAAGTCTTGATGTGCTTCAAGACATACGCTTACTCACCTGGCTTCTTCTTGGATCTGTATCATCCAACGCAGAAGAAGAAGTCCGCTCGTATCTCCACGGGCGGAAAACCGCCAAAAGCTTCAGGGAGTGGCACGCAGGCTGCAAAGGCAACGTCTGCCAAGCAACAGGCCACCCAGAAGAAGAAGCAGGCGGAGTCCTCAGACAGGAAGGGAAAAGGGAGGGCGCGAGATTGATTTGTATGATAGACAGAAGTTTTTGCGAACTTCGACATATCAGGTACGATCATCCAGCCACCTTTCCTGACACTTGGACTGATTTACCTCTTTGGATCGCCGCAAAGTGTGCCATTCTGATCGCGCCCCCTGACCTTGTAAGGGCGGCTAGATTTCGGTCTTATGTACACACTGGTCCTAATGTATATATCCCTGATTCCATCGCAATGCACATCTCTGCTGGGATGAAGTTTATGCTGTATAAACCGCCTGATGAATCAGCTATTAAGTCTGCATATGAGGACTTCAAAGATCGTCTAAGATGGCGACTGATCTTTGATGTCAAAGAGGCTAATAGTAATAAGGATGAAGAAAGTCGTGAGGAATATGATCCTGACTACGAAGTGCCGCATACACGCAAGCGTGCACAAAAAACATATGACTATATCGAATGTGGCCTTTCTGCAGGGGATGCTTACGTTGCGCAATATTGCGGCGACATCGTACCTCAGATAAAAGCCAGGGCCTCCAACTCCGGTTTGGTCTGGCTGGACACAGTTCGAAAGTACTTGCATGATAATGGCCTTATTGTGCTTGCTACAGACAAAAATCTAGGGTCATGTGTAGTCACCCGGACATGGTTCATTGAACACACGCAACTTCTTTTGTCGGATACAACCAGCTACAGAGAGATCTCTGATGCTGAGCGACAAATGATTTTAGAAAAAACACATACTGAGGTTGGGAAGGCAGCAGCATTCGCGTCGGATGTACTGCGCCATGACCAACTGGCTCGCTTCTTGCGGTCTAAAATACCAGAGGACTCACGTGTAGAGTCGGTCGTACCAGGCTTTTATGGTATTCCTAAAATACATAAATTCCCGGTAAAAATGCGACCGATCGTCCCTTGTCACTCATGTGCACAGGGTCCTGCGGCCAAGTATGTGTCAAAGCAATTGAAAGCACTCATTGAGTCTCGCCCGTTCGTGTGCAAAGGGACTAAGCAATTGGCCCAGAGACTCTCTGAACTAGTGCTGGATAAAGCTTCGTATAGCAAGTATTGGCTTGTCACTGGTGACGTAGTGGCATTCTATCCCAACATTCCCTTGTCATATGCTATCAGGCTAGTGACTAAAATGTGGCAGGCGCACCCTGCTGGAGGATTGAATCAATCAGCCGATCAACAACATCTGTTTATCATGTGTATGCAGCTGGCTATGCGCCGCCTTATTACTGAGTTTGGCGGGAAGACGTATGAACAAATCAGAGGGATTGCAATGGGGGTGGCTTGTTCACCTGACATTGCTAATCTCTTCGGTGCTTGGTTTGAGGAACATGCGCTTCTAGATGGCGATGGGCACTGGCGTGACCCTAGAATCGTCTTCTATAATAGATACATCGACGACTGCTTCTCCATTGTGAGAGCAAATAGCGCTGCTGATGCAGTTATGATTCTTGAATCAGCTATTCACTTCGAAGGTTGTACTATTGAGTGGGACGCGAGTGATCTCAGTGTCGCTTTTCTGGATATGTCTATTACTATCGATCCTGAGGGATGGGTCGATTGGAAGCCATACCGCAAGGCGCGTAACCACTTAGAACGGATCCCCTGGGCATCTCACCACCCAAATGATGTCAAAAAAGGCACCTTCTTGGGCGAGATGAGCCGTTTAGCAGTACTGTGCTCTCGACCGTCTTATTACCGTGAGGCGTTAGAGAACCTGTATGATCTCTACATTGCTAGAGGCTATCCTGGCCCGTTGTTAAGATCTTGGATTTCACACTACAGGCAAACACGGTGGAACTCGCGCTTTGAGACACCTGTAGCGAGGCAGGAAAACGCCTCTGTGTTTGTGTTGAAGTCATCTTACAACCCCGTGTGGGAAAAGTTCGACGCTCAAGGACTTGGAAAAGTCATCGTTGGTACCTGGGAACAAGAATTACGTGATATGCACGTCTTGTACTCTCGGATATGGGGCTCAACGGCCGCAGTTGCCTATGAGGCAGTGCGAACCGGGACTAATACATCCCAGTTAATGCATCAGGCGCTGCTGTCCCAGTTTGGGTACGGCAGGGTTCTGAATCGGGCAGGCAGAGACTCGGAACGCGCAGAGGTCGAAAGGCTTCTGGTCAGCGGTGGGTCTTCTCCTGATCCTGATCCTATGGACGTGGATCGTGAGGAGGGTGAAGTGCAGGAGAGCACGTCTCAGTCAGGGCACTACGGCGATCAAGGTCGTCGCACCCCTGATGACGACCGCTGGGGGCTCAGACCCCAATCTCCAGCCCCTGACCCTGGCCCCTCTTCGGAGGAATCACCAGGGGGAGGCGCCCAAGAAGCAGGCCAGGTGGCCTTGGCACTCCTTAGTAACGAATCCCACGGCTGTATGGTGTATACTGGGCGTATGTCACGGGGAGCGCCCATAGAGTTTCTGCAAGTGCCAGATGTCCTGAAGTTGGGATACCACAGAAAACGCTGGATAGTGTCACGAAAACGCGGAGTCAATCTCGGCGATCGTGTCAACAAGTGGCGTAAAGATGACATCAAGTTTGCCGACCCGGACGATGTGTTTCGTCTGGCCGACTTGGGCGATGATACTCAGCAATAGCTGTGTTATCTAAAGGGTGGCGATATAAGTCTCCGCGAGGAGCAGGCTGGCGGCTGGTGGTTTAAATTGGCGAAGTTTGTTCGAACCAAACCCAACCTAATCTAACCTAACCTAACCGAACCCTACCAACCTAATGACGCTAACTCACCCTCTTGGATACACTCCCTTAATCGGGAAGTCCAATGCGTTTGACTCACGCTCCTGACTGGGGCTAGGGTTGCACGTCCCCTGACTTATCTTTTGGGACGGAAAGCGCCTGCGG